TATGGTCGAGTCTAAATTATGGCCAAGTGAATGGTCCAATGTCGGAGATTATTATGATGAGTATGTTTATCGCTTTTAAGTAGGGTTTTCGAGACTACCAGTAAATCGGATAGATGAGATGTGTTCACTCTATTTCGGTTGAGGCGATGAAGGGCTGGCAGTTGAATTTCTCCCCAATCATATGAGAATACCTTACGGTTCCATTGAATTTCATAGGTCCTTGCTTCCCAAAAGATAGTCTCATCAAGGATAGACTGTAGTTTTGACCTTGTCAGCGCCTCTAGCAGGAATCGAACGATGACACTGCAGAGTATAGCCTTGATACCTGAGCCAAAGCGATACAATGCCATGAATTCTCTTGAGCCACCAGGCATATATGAATCTCAAAATAGGCCAATTATTTTCCCATATCACATTCTGTGGTGGTATTGTCGGTTAAGCAAACTTACATTTGCCATAGCACTCGACGACAAAACTTACTATGTTGGTTCGGTCTCGTTTCCGCAACTTGGTCGGAGCATCAGGAGGACCTTGCGGAACGTACCTAGTCCTGTGTACTCTGCCATAGTATTTGTAATTTTCAGCATCGGCCCATTGACTTAGTACATTCCCAAATGCTTCGCCGGCATCGTCAGTGAGTGATGTCATCGTCAGCAAAATGCCAATTCAAATAATAAGTTGTGACAATGTCGAATATGATGATGGCGAAACATCTGGGAAAGTACCAAGTCACTCATCCAATTCTGGAAATCATGAATACTATGGCAGAGGACACAGTACTAGGTGAGTTCCACAAGGTCTCCCTGACGCTGCGATCGAATTGCGCAACCGAGGTCGAACCAACACGACGCAATACATATAAAGAAGACTGTGACCAAACAGAAGACCACACCATCTTGGTCTTCATATTTACGACAACTTTTTTTCGTTTTCAAGTCGCTTTTCGAGGCTTAGAACAAATTAATCTACCATTTATTAATTAACTTAAACGAAGTATGGTGACGTCGTCGAGTGCCATAGCAAAGATAAATTTGCTTTATCGACAATCTCCTCACAGAAAGGGATATAGGAAAATTCCTGGCTTTGTTAAAATAATTGTTGAGCATACTTACATTTCGAGTGAAAGTGTGGGGAAGAGTGGTGAACAGATTCGAAGGTCGATTCAATCAGAAGACGACTGCTGATTCCTCTTGGCCAGCTTTACTGGAGCATTCATGCTGACGTTGTTTCTGAGGTAATCTTTTTCGATTCCGGTAAAAAGTGCTAAACTTTCGTCTATCATATGACGAACATCATCAAAGCCAGGAATCATCGTTACAACTAACTTCAAGCTAACCAATCAAGAAGGCTCACCGGCAAATCCTGAAAAAGATGTATATATATCTGGCATCTTTGATGAGGTATTAAGTGATTTGGTTAGTTACAGTCATATGCCAACCTCGAAGAATGTGCCTGTTTGTGTTCGCTCATGCACGAAACCAGCAGTTATAGCTCAAAGTAATTAGGACAGCAAAAGTAACATCTGTTCTCGGCCATCAAAGTTTGATGGCAACTATCCACCCTTTCTACATATATGCTATAGCCATCACTTTGATTGCTCAAGGTCGGACACACGACTGATTATGCTGATGAGCCTTTTTTTGTCTTCATGTGGGAGAGAAAGAGTGAGCTAAAAGTTCAGAGAAGTGACTATGATTAGGACCAAGACAAGAAAAGACTAGTTGAGTCGCCTCCTTTTTGCAGGTGGCTCAACACCCTCTCTATCTTTGAGTCTATTAATTAAGCACAAGTAATTTTACTTATCTTCTTACATTCAATGTATTTCCTATTCGGTTTATTTCGATGGCTTCTCTAATATTTCGTTTAGCCGCAGACATGGCATAATCAGCAAAACGAAAAGTTTGCGTCCATTCAATCTCGTGGAACGTTTCTGCCCTGTGCTCAGCCAGCTCATTTTTTCAACCCAACACCATTTGAGTGTGCTTTTGTGCTCAGCCACCCTATTTCGAATGTGGCAATAAGTTTCTCTACATAAAAGCGACCACATGAACACATTATGTTGTAGCAACACGATCTGGATAAGGGGTCAACTTTCTCTCTAAAAATGTGAGTTAACTTGCACATCTGTTCTGTGATCAACGGGCACTCGTGGCATTGTGACATGGTCGCTAACGTGTCGATATTATAATCTACATTGTCATGGCTCGAGTCTCACTGAGGGGGAGCTAATGAAACCTAAGTAAAGTTGAAGATACAATCCACCCTAAATTCGAATATCTTTTGGTAAGCAAGGCTATGTGAACTTTAATGGAAATGTAAGGTCTACTCAAATCATTGTGGGAAAATTCAACTACAAGTCCTTCATCACCTTAAAGGAAATAGGGTGTAGGCATCCTCTATATATCAATATTATGGCCTACGACGTTGGTATAGGTTCGTTTCACAGGATATCCCTGCCGCTCTGACCATGTTACGAAACGGTTACCAAACCCTAGACTACCCCAATTTGGGTTTGGAGGAATTTATTGGTTGATAAGTGTTAAGCTCACTTCATTTTCGAGGTAAAGTGTGTGGTGGAGAGTTGAAGATTAGATATTCCATTCTACAAAGGATTGCTGAACATAAAAGTGCCTTTAAAGGCTGATGGGTTCAGAAAACAGAGGTTGTGGAACACATGGCCTCAGACTAATAGATTTCCTCACTATGGTATCCCTGCAACTAAGAGCAAGATTAGAAAAGCAATTACGATACATAAAGTAGGTAATACATTAAATAGCTGGAACAGATGTAGATGGTTAACTAAGAATTACATATGGTTAATTGATAGACTTAAGCACAGAAAAGGTGTTGAGTTGTCTGGTAACTGGAGGCGATTCAATTAGTCTCTTGTTGGCAATGGTTCTGTTTCCGATTACACTTCATATGAGCATTAGTTTAATCTTTCTACCTCACACAGACCAAAAACTCATCAACTTAACCAGACGTGGGTTCGATATTACTCAAATAGAGGGATTGTTAAAATATAAAAAGGCTGGTAATGGCGATCATTACATCTTGATGTTCTAGGAAGGATGTTACACTTTGTTCTAATTAATGTTGGTTGCCACCGCTGGTTTCGTACATCTAATTACATATGAAGGTAGGCAAACGCACAAAGCGGCACACTTACAGACCTCTATAAAGGCATTATTTAGACTAACCAAATCACTTTATTCCTCATCAAATTGAAAAGATTTAGGGTACATATATAGTAATTGAATATAAGCCGATGGTTTTTCTTACTCTTTGGCTTGGATATGAATGTAGAAATGATGCTCTGCTCTTATTATGTCTATCATATGACGGACGTTTTCACCGAAGTCGCCAGTTTCAGTAAAGCCAACCGCCAGCTGGCCAAGAGGATTCCGTACTCGTTTTCTGAGAGAATCGACTTTTGAACCTCTTCATCGCCCACTTTCACTGTAAATGTGCTTAACATAATTAAGATGACTCTAATCAAAGCTGACCAGAAGTCAAATTTGACAACTACATTCTTGTTTCTTGTTAGCTGGGAAGCCAGTTTACCCGACATCTAATAAAACGAAGTGATTGCATTTGCCTTTCGTCTGCTAGTTGAATTAGATTCGACAGATTATATGCCGTCGTCTTGTTCCATTTTTTAACCAGCAATATACTTTACACACTTACTTTTTGGTTCATCGGCTCGGCTCCAAATTCGAAGTGTCTGCTGAGAGAACCAAATAATAGCTTTTAATTGGAACAGAGGGAGAGAGCGAAGCATAGACAAGATGAGAGGCACTAGAATGTTACAGGGAAGTAGTCAACGGGGCGAGTCGCTAAGTGACCAAAATGATGCAAGACTACCTGCCAAAGTTGAAGGTAGTGAGCATAACCTGTGGCCTATACTATGAAGAGAAGCTGAACTTTGATTACTCTCTTGATAGATCTTATTGTTCTGACTGCACTATTGGGTGTAAGCGCGAAGTGAGTAGATTTTTTAATCCATCTCATAAGAATGCGAAGTTGTTGTTGCGATGGCAACGTGCCCCAGCTCCCTTCTGTCAGCGTCAGAAAAGGATAGAAACCTTAAGTCACCGTCCAGCCAACACGAAGTCAAAACAATTAAGTGACTTATTCTTATGTGAACTCGACTCCAGCTTGAGTGCATGTGGAGGAGATGGCTGGATGTACTTTCATATACGTATCCAGGCTTGGACACTTGGGCTTGCGTCCATGTATGTGTATGTGTGTGTGTGTGTGTGCATAAGTACGAGTACTCATTCATCACTAATGGATTCAAGCAAGTTGGACATTCTTAATATCCATCCGAGTGTTAACGTAAGACTTTAACAAGAATGAGTTCCAGCTATGATGATATCCATCATGTGATGGACGCAAGCTCAGCCCGTTTTTACCCGAAGCGAGGCAGGATGTCTCGGTGGTTGCGTCAACCTGAACGTCTCCACAAAATGATTGGAATTGGGACAGGCTTGTTTGTTGGGTAACACAAATCGCTTAGAGAACGAGGTTCGTCAACTATGAATGACTTTAGACTTTAGAGGAGCATCGAGAAGCGGCAAATTAATGAAAAAATCATACTTACCCTAAATTTTTCCTTCGATTGAATCTTTATAAAACCAATAAGAAATCAGCCAAAACTTGCGCATTTCGAAAGAATCAATAAAAGGTTAGTTTCCATGCCTAGCCTTGCGTAAACTTGCACATTCGTCAGCAAACGACACATCAAAAATGAAATTTAGAGACATTAATCGCAGTTTTGCGCCACCTTCATGGAAAAAGACAAACCTGCAGTTTATAAAAGCCAATAAATCTAGATCTAGATCCTATAATCTCAGTCGATGCCAAAAACGAATAGGTCACACTAAGTTTGTGAGATGATCCAAATCTCTGGTATGTAGAAGCAAACCGCCGAAGAAGGCCAGCAAGGCAACGCTCTAAGTAAGTACTGGGCTTGCATTCATTTGTGTGTGAAGGCATTGTTACGTTTAACTCAGACATGGACGGCTTTTTAAGATGATGCACGATGTAGTCCAATACATAAAATTTCACGATCTAACCTGTGACTGAGGTCTGTGCCACCATCTTAACATGTTTTTAAGCAAACGGCATCTCTTCTGCTGATATATGATCCGGTCAAACATCTTCAAACATCCCGCGACCTTCGGAACTCGATACTTTGTCCTCGCCATGTATTGGCTGCAGAAGAGTTCATTGTCAAATTATATTGTATCTTCGAGCATCGGATACACCACACAAGAGCTTCGTTTTGGGGAACAATTAGAGACAGAAAGCTTAATCCTTGGGAGTCTTTCGGGGACACGATAGATCTTATGATGTATTTTTATAGTGACTTGCTCTGAGTGCATATGCAAGCTCTCTGCTACTCTGTTTATCCGTAGCAAAATGGCGGATCTCGCGCTGAGAGTATTTGGAAGACAATAATGTATATTTAAAGTCATTTAAGCTGATTAACTACTTGGCTAGTTGCAAACGCCTGAAAGATATAGACTTAATTGTTTTTCGATCAGCGAGTCAATTATAGTCTGCAAATTGTTCTTTTTTGCCTCCATGAACAACGCTTTCAGAAAGTTGAAGCAAGTTGGTCTACTTCTCGAAGAAAAAGGTATTGTGCTGATGAATCGGATATCTTCTTTGTTGAAAAGGGCACAAGGGATTGATCGTTGCATCTCACATTCTCTTCTATGAGCCTTACTCTAGCATGAGCCATGCTTATTTTTTAGAATAGCTTAAGCAATTACTTCTGGTGCAATATGACGGATGCATTCGTTCTTTTGACCAATCTCTGTACACAAAAGCAAAGTCCAGGTTCAGCGTTAGTGAGTTCATGGACAATTCGCCTGCTTTAGCAGCACTTTTGAGGCTGAATGTAGAACGGGTTTGAAATCTCTCCTTCCAAAGTGTCTGGAAGATATGATGGAAGTTTAAGATCGGGCGATACACAAGGGCGATGTAAAAGCTGTAACATCTGCAATCCGATGAATAAGATACTTGTCTTGACCTGCGATTGCGTCGGAAGTACGGTAGCCAAGAGTAGCGACCCTTCGGCAGATTGATTGTACGACGAAAAGCATTGACTATTCGGTGGATGCAAGGCATAAAGGCTAGCTCTATTGTTGAATAACTCCCTGACTATGTTCCGTTTTTTACCTAAAAACACTTTAACAACTTTCTCGGGGGCAACATGCTCTGGGTCGGTGCCAGAGAAATAGTCTAGATAGACCCAAGCGCTCTATCAAAGTGCCATTCAGGAGCAATCGAACTGAAATAAAAGGTGGCAGAAAAACCAGTGCAGAAACCGTAATTTTACTTGGTCACTATTCCGAATTATTATTCTTCGGGAGTGTTGTAGGCTTCGATTGCTCTTGATGGGGTCTAGATGAGATCTATTCAGCATAAGAGCACCTTTTGTTAGGCAATGCTAATGGAAATGGCATCATAAAGCAATTTTATGCCAGTGTGGGACTAATCCCACAAGCCATATTTAACTTACCATACACGATAAAGGACGACCACATCCTTAGTATTTGAATAGATGATAAAAGGAGGATCTACATTCTTTAAATTGTTAACGTCCAGTTACACCAGATGTACACAATATTCAACCCGAAATCTTGCCAATATGCAGCAGTTTCGAACAACGCTAGAGAATTTGATAACGTTTATACCCAATAGGCATTTAAAAAATGAATTTGAGTAGTAATGAAAGTCACTGACAATCCTCCCGCAAAGTCACTTGCTTCAGAATCCGCCAAACCTCATTGAGTTAACTGACTAGCAAACAATCCAAGTATAAATAGATCTAAAATAAGCCACGTCATCTGGGGGTACATTTGTGTCACTTGGAGACTGTCTATTTGTAATTAAACTAGTATACGTGTTTCCCTCCTACACCATTCAACCAGGGCTCGAATTTCACAGATGAGCGACCGAGAAGACGTCGAAACTTTAGTTCAGTCGGAATGGGACAGGCCTTATCGGACACATGACATGGTGAATATTTGCTTCATTGACGCTGCCATCACAGAAATGTGGTATGGGAAAGGCTTAAGCTTCATTGAAATTAATTCATGTTTTGTAACCTAAAGGCATCTGTGGCATTTTTGTGTATATTATGCTCATCACTATTTGGGTTCGAGTCCCGGGAATCTACCAATTCAGCGGTCCGATGCGTGAAGTCATCACGAATACTATGGCAAAAGACGCAGGACTATGCACGTTTCATAAGGTCTCCCTGTTGCCTCGAATTAGTTGCGAAATCAGGATCAAACCAACACAATTCTCAAATGTAATTTGTCAGAAGTCTTGTTTGTCTTAAAAGCCACATCCTTCCTGTGATCAAATGACACCAGTTGCTGTGTGTTGTGGCTGCAATAAGCACCACCATTTGTAGTTACGACGAGGCCTAAGCGAGATCGAAACTGCAGACAAGTCTTGAAAAGTGACACATTTCGTAACGCAAGGCTATGTGAAAACTGCATTAGCCATATTTCGGCTGAAGAATGGCTGGTAGCTAAATTTTCCCACAATTATACAAATAGGCTTCATGCTTTCCTTTGAGTTCGCATGACCTTACTACATAAAAGATATTCTCATCCATGGTCAACTGCAATTTCGCCCTCTCTTTGGTCCCATCAACACAACTTGCGAAACTCGAACCATGACGACCCAGCTTCTATTCTCCACACGGTAACTACTAGACCACATTGCCACAAGTGCTCCTGGGTCACAGGACAGAAGTGAATTTCAAGTAAGACTAGGCCTTTTTCATTTAACATTAGATGTGAATACCTTTTGATGCGCAAGGATATGTGAAATTTATAGCAAATCTAAGGTTTAGTCATATGATTGTGAGAATAAAATTCTTATTCAAGAACCACTGATGGTTTCGAAAACCGACTTATAAAATTAAAATAATGTTGTGTGAAAGGCCTACCGGTAGTGTCATCACTACTGAAATCCCTATGCATGCTTTATTTATGACCTCGAAATGCACTCTCATCGAATGAAAATCTGCTTGCCATTGTGCTTTTTGATTGGGATACTCTTCATTAATGTTGCACCTTTGGTTTCCTATACGTGCACCCCCCCAATAAGGCTTGTTGAATTGATAGATTGTATACAGAAAAAAAACATTTTTGACCATGACAATGTCGGGAAACAAGTCTTTGACAATGCTTATTCCCTAATTGACTATTGAGCCCTCCACAGAGCCTCTAGGGTCAGTTTGATTGGCAATTTGACCAGTCAATGCATATTCAACCACAAGTCGCCTGCTGGAATAAGCAATTAGGTTCACTTTAGATCGCCCTTTTGACCTTTCCCACAAAAGGCTCTCTTCTTAACTCGGAGCGACTGGGGTGTACGTACTTTTCCGGTAGAAAAACGGACTTGGTCTGTGCAGTTTCCAGCTCACCCGTTTAGGCCTGAATCACATGTTCATAGGCAGTCCAGGCCCCGGTTTACTGACCTCTGTAGCATCCCCTTTCTCTTTATGCATTGGTGCATCGCCTCGTCTGTTGTTGCCTCTACTCTACTCCCCTTGGTCCTGCCAACAAGCACACGTCAACGATTATTTGTGGAGAGCCTACAAGTAGTTCTTCTGGTCTGCCATCCCTTGTCGGTCTGGGGACAGATGACCAGTGAAGCAGACTAAGAAAGAGCGGCATTAACAGTTGCTTTATTCGATGCATGGACGCTGCCATGGCCACACGATAACTACTCTCTCGTCAGAAAACTTCAATAGCGTCAGCTGCTGCCGCTTCTGGGGCAGATTTCGCTGAGCTATCTTTTTTTTGTTTTCACCAGGTCTCTTCGTGTCTGGCATAAATGGAGATGGGAAAACAATCATGAGTGTAATAATCTGCGGTGTGGACAAGTGAAGACAACCGGCATTGTTGATGCCTTAACGGCTCTGGCAGCACTAACGAGATGATCGTTTCTACGACTAAGGTGCACACTTATGGACGCCAGGCTTACCGGCTGGCCATGCGCCTCCGTTACTACTTCCACATTCGTGGACATTCTGGCGGGTAGAGGAGGCACCTGCTGTAGTCCAGTGAGCAACCCGAATTGAGCAGTTGAAGCACTCTAAAGTATGCGCAGGCTCCGGTACCAACATCTGGCCCTGCACTGTCCAGTTGAAAGGGATAAATAGTTGAATGCCGGTCTTTATCATCCATCTTCTGAAAATTCACCTTTCCTTAGATTGGACCGATGACTGTTAGTGCCTGTGGTGAAGGGCCTGTTTTTTTCGGGTACACTAAGGCCTGTATATGCGATGGAGAGTGAATCCTCTGCGGATTGTGGAACAGAGCAGAACGCAGTGAGGACTTTCAGTCCAGGATATGACAAAAAGCGCCATCTTGTCATACACGTCAGGCTGAACATCCATAAAGTCAGTGGAGCCAGAAACAACAACTTTTATTTAGGCAGTTTTGTGGCAATAAGGCTATCAAATTGAGCTGGTGGCGCGTTATGGTATGAAAAAAGTGGAAACATGGCAAGAATGAGATGTTGAAATCCAGAAAATGTAGTAAGGCTCGGCCGAGTGGTAACTTATAGCACGCTAGCAATACTCTTTTTACAGCTCTTGCTGTTTTCCACATCTGGTCTGTACTGCCAACGTGAATGGAAAATCCTTTGTGCCAGTGCATGAATATATGCAATAATGGATGCATATTTAAGTATTTTGTTGCTTTGTCGCATGGCTTGTTGGTTATTGGAGTGATTATTTTGTTATTTGCTTTGTTTTTTTGGCCAATTGGGGGGTTAGTCGTTTAGTTGATTTCTTTTTTGCTGCTGTGGTTGCTAATGTTGTGATGGTGTGATGAAAAAGTAGAAAAATGTCAAGAAGGAGATGGAGAAATGTGGAAATTTTGGTTGAATTAGTGCCTAAACGTTTGATGGAATGGCAAGTTAGAGTCTAACAACAATCCACCTTTTGTAGTCATTGTATTCCATTACCAGCTGAACTCCTGGCATGTAATAATGGATGGTTGCTTTGTTGCTGGGCTTGTCGGTCGGTTGGCTGGTTAGTTGGTTAATTTGTTGATTTGTTAGTTGCCTGATTGGTTACTTGGCCGGTAAGTCGGTGTAGGACTGTACCAAAGCATTCTTGTCCCATATACTTTATGCATCGGGCTACGCGTGTGGCACTCGCTGTTGCACTCATTTAACAAGTCAGCTTTCTTCACGTTTTTACACAAATGTTCACGAGTGCTTGTGCGTTTTGTGCGTGCGCGTGTGTCCGAGACAGTGGCCCCCATGTCCCATCCACCTGTGCACACTTGTCTCTCTTTCCTAATCGGTGTCCAGGGGACAGACTCCCAATTGTGGCCTGGCTAAACGAAGATGAACAGTGACAGTTGTTCGCCCCTCGCAGGCCCAGTTGGCTGCGTCAATAACTGCCTCCGCCCAAATGTGGTTTAGACACAGACCAGGCTTGTGGAGACGACGAGCACAGGGCTTTGAGAGCCTCTGGGGGGAGGCAGGCCCGAGGCAACCGGGAGGTTGGGGCACATGTCTGACAAGGCATCCAGCCTGCAGGTTGGTCGGTGGCCGTTGAGAGGCAGTCAACCATGGCACGGTCATATTCTGCTGTAGCAGAATATGAATGAGGGCTGAGTGATAAGTGGAGAAGGCTGGGGCATCACTGCGGCGAAGAACTTGCCCAACGGATAGAATGTCGAAAAGAGACGGGCCATGCTGTTCCGATCTGGTGCAAAATGATAGATTGAACTTGGCCATCTCAAGGTTCGGGAGGAATCTTTAAATTCTAAAGTATCGGAATGGCAACCCGCTGGTGTAGGCGATAAGACTTTGCCAATTCACGTGTTGGCTTGACCTCGCTTTCACAATTTGCTCGGGATACACGAAGACCTTGTGGAACGTACCTAGTTCTGTTTCCTTTGCCAAGGTATTCTTGATTATTTTTGGCATCGGACCGATGACTTGGCACATCCCAGCTGCCGGAAATTGTCATGACTACTATGAAGAGAAAGCAGAACTGGGCGCATCCCAATCCAGTTGCGAAAACGTGGTCATACCAACATTATACTGCAACCAGACAAAAAGCGACACCATCTTCGTCTTCCATCATCTAGCTTTCCATGACTCACTTCTGCTCATGCTCAAAGTTCTTGTCTTTATCCAATTCATGCCACCCGCATTGCCAGTCTCCGTCACGTTACCTCAATATGAAGACCAAATGACGATGAAACGAGACCGTCGTCATGGCTATAGAGGTCGCGAAGTCTGTGTTGTGGAGATGTAACCAGAAATAAAACATATTGGGCAGATATTTCAGTAATTGCTTATTTTGGGCTTCGAATACACTCTGCATCCAGTGAGTATACCAATGCAGGTAACTTAAGCACTACCTTTAAGTTATTATAAGTCATGAGCTATCATTTGTCCTTGATGGTCTGGTAGATTTTGGCAATAGAGTTAATTCGGAAGGTCCAATATAAGTGTTTTTCTCACGGCGACAAAATCGTTTACTCATCGTAGGCAGGATTGACAGAATAATGGACTCTTTCCGGTTAGTAAGGCTGAAATCAAATCTTCCGATTATATTTCAATAATAATTTAGCTAAAATGCAGGAACTGATTGTTTTGGGAAAAAATTTCCGAGGTAATTGCCTTTGTCTGAGTTAAATGGCAATAATCATATGCCCTCAGTCATAAGATGATAATACTGAAGGAGGACTGAAATTATACATTGAAAGCATTGCAAAGGGTGCAGGGAACGTTGATAGGATGATGAGTTCTTTGATGCTATTAAGGAAGATGGCGATGAGACCGATGGTCGCACTGATGTTCCTATCTTTAATTACATAAAGAGCTGCTCAAAATAGTGAATTATTACGAAGTATTAATGGCAAGTGTGATTTTAATGCTAGAATAGATGCAAATATGATACTGAAATGTAAACCATATACTATGGCCCCTCTTTATTTCATTTTTATTATTGTTCCTGATGTCTGTGCCTATATCCTATTTAAATTGCTTATTTTTTTAAATGATTAAGCAAAAATTATATTTATACGAAAATTGCAGGCATTTATTATTTGGTGCTTTTCTTTTAATGATGCTTTAGCCATAAATTATAAGCTCTGGTTATCCAATTAATCACT